TACATTTACCATAAACACTCCTCCAAAAAATTTGCCGAGTCGCGTTTGTTTATAGCCGACTCGCCGAGCCCGAGCGCACTCTTGCATCCACAAAAATACAAATTACACCGTGACGCTTCTATAAAGTTGCTTTCGTTGGTACCAGATATCAAAATAAGGTAAGGTTAGGTAGGTCGCTTTGGTTGGTTATATTACATCAGATTATACAGTACAGTATTAGCTTCTAGCAAATGTCGCCTCTTAAAATTCTATAATAACGTCCGGAAAAAATGAACAAAATCAAACTAGTCCCGGTAACCGATGTCATATCTCCATAACGGCTCATTTATACCAGAAATGAAGGTTAGAATTGCTCGAAAAACATAATACACTAGGGAAAACCTAGTCGCTAAACGAATCTCGGGAATTTTATAATTTCAATCGGTAATTTTGACAATTTAAGACAATTTTCTTCAATAACATTTCTGGAACAAAATACGTTTAAGCGAGATATTTAACAGTTCATTATGTATGTCTGTTCATGGAGGTACACACCCACGTTAGTTTAGGTTTGGTTAGGTTAGGTTAAATCCAAAACTTTTTCCGATGGGTTTTTGTGCATTTTGGACAGTTTTTACCTCGATTCTTATAGCTCTAGTTTCTGAGGAGCAGGGTGGTAAATTTTTACAAGTGGACAACCATTGACTTTTTGTTGAGCAATGTGTTTTTCCAATAGTTTAGACAATGTTAAAACACGTTTCTTCTACGACGTTTTCCTCAGAAATTACTTAAAATTACCTAATCTCCCTGCTATATTTAAGTCATTTGTGAGGGAAACGTCATTGAAGAAAAGTGGGTTAATATTGGTCCATTGGCTGTCCGCAGGTTCCCGCCATGTTTACCCGAGGTTATACTCCTAACTCGTCTCCTCCTCGTAGGTTAGGTTAGGTAGGTTCTTTGGTATGAGAATTAGTTTTTGGTGTACTTTGGTGTTTTACTCAAATTTGACCTCTATTTTATTGGCAAAATTAGCAGTTTGTTAAAATTGAAAATGTTCTTTTTTTGCAAAACACGTTACTTTACAAAAGAAAAGGGCACACTTGAGTACAACACTGAAAAATCTCGAAAAAAAACATTCTACAAAACCCGAGGACAGCCAATGGAACAACACATTGATCAACAACTCCATGGTTGTCCACTTATATTAATTCACCAGGGGCTTATCTCAAAACTATTGATTTGCGCCACAAATGAAGGTCAAATTCGTTCATTACATCAAAAACCACCGGAAAAACATATTTTCAACTTTGATGTTATATAGTGGCAACAATATACCAATACAGTACTTCACCAGACGACCCAGCACAATTAACTAAATTAACCATTAAATACACTCTGTCTAACCATAATAACTCTCCAATAACTTCTTAGTATTATTAATGTTAAATATCTGGTATAATATTATGAATAAATGTCTTACCGATGCCTCAGGCCGATATTTTCGGGGCTGTCAGATCGTGGTACACTTCGTCCGTCCTCCACCTTCTTCCTCTGTCTTGTGGCTCCAGCTGGTGATGGATCCAAGAACCACCAGACGAGAAACTCTCCCCTGTACCCCGTGATGAAGGTTTAGTAGTGCTGTTAACTCATAGATGGCGCTCACCTCCAACTCTCCCCTGTACCCCGTGATGAAGGTTTAGTAGTGCTGTTAACTCATAGATGGCGCTCACCTCCAACTCTCCCCCTGTACCCCGTGATGAAGGTTTAGTAGTGCTGTTAACTCATAGATGGCGCTCACCTCCAACTCTCCCCCTGTACCCCGTGATGAAGGTTTAGTAGTGCTGTTAACTCATAGATGGCGCTCACCTCCAACTCTCCCCTGTACCCCGTGATGAAGGTTTAGTAGTGCTGTTAACTCATAGATGGCGCTCACCTCCAACTCTCCCCTGTACCCCGTGATGAAGGTTTAGTTAACTCATAGATGGCGCTCACCTCCATATCATTCCTTATCTTATTACCTTTTTACGTTGAATATATAAAACAGCCATTTAAATAATCATTTATTACCATTTACATAAAACTATGTTAGTATGTAATAGAGTCCGTAAAAGTAAAATGATTTTTGGTGTGAAATAACTGAAAAACATAAAAATTTCAGTAATTTAACAAGAAAGAAAATGTGCCTTCGTTCTTGGGGCACTACAGAAACATGTCCGTCTTGGAGGAACTAAAGCAAATTATAGATCTATTATATATATATACAAACTTTGAAGTATTCTCACCACATTCATTAACAATACTGTACGTTAGTAAAGCCTATATGTTGGTGGTACTTATATACTGCCTGGAATACTTAAGTACTGCTGATTTACTTAAAGGGTGAAACTTTTATTATTTAGAATCAGTGAGAAGTTGAACCATTTTTATTGTTACCAATACTTGTGACGATGTTGTCAAATAAGGCTTCTGAGACTATGCTTTGCTTGAAAGAATAAAGGCCGTTGCTTACACTTTCAAAGAGACCAATGAATTCTATAGTAGATTTAGCAATGTATAGAAGGAACCCAGCCAGACATTTATTGAATTAGTTTATTTTATTACCAAGCTAAATCACAAGTATCACACCCCCACCAATGCCGTCCTTAAATACTCTGAAAGCTGTGACGGGAGGTCAGTACCGATCATAACCTCAAAGGAAGTAATGCTACTGGATATATGGTTATACATCTCTTTATTTTTCACATTTTGGTGTTATTTTTCTTGAGTAAATTTCTCGTGTTGGTTAAAAATAAGTTTTGTTTAGCTATTTATATTTCATGTAACTTGGTTACATATTAGTGTATTTAGTGAATTATTTCTGTGTGATTGAGTTTGATTCAAAGTATACTTTTATATTTAATCTTTGATTACTTGCTTGTTCCAGATATCTGAGATCTACGTGGAGTAACTCCTGGCAATGTTTCAGTGGTGGGATGAATTGAGTTTCGCTCCAGGTGAAAGTGGACCAATCCAGCTTCACCCACGGCACAGTGACCTACCTACCTTAGTTATGTGGGCAGCTAAGGACGAACCCGGCTATAGTGGGGATGATTTAGTGGAGCGCGAACTGCTGTATTTATTTAACTAAAGATATGATAAACATACTTCTACATTAAACTTGATTTTAACTTTAAAACCCCATTTTTTAGTTCCTTTAATAACGGTTTTCTGGGGCATTTTAGACCAATTTAAGACTAGACAAGACATTTCCCTCTCTGTTAACTTGTATACAATTTACCAGTTTAAATAACTTAAGTTTACACAAGATCGGGGGGACTACTATTGTTCTTGCTAGATGATCCTTAATTCGGCTTCAAGACGCCACCCGACCATCTAGCACAATACATTTACTTGGTAGTGTAGTGGGTTTCTCCCCTACAAACGCTCTTTGTCGCTGAGTAGCCGACCCCACCAATTCCCCAGTGTATACCTCGAGGTCAACCAGTGCCGCCATACATCACGGAGCGGGGGTCAACTACTAAGCCACGCCTACCCCAGCAATTTAAGACCTGACCTCGTGGTGACCTGTCCTCGCGAATATGTAATGTTTACTGATGATATTACTCAAATCGTATCATGCCCAGGAAAATCAACCCAATTTATGGCACTCTACACGGTAAGAGCGATAAAAAAATATAAATGATTTTGAGAAAAAATGGAAAATCAGGACAAATAAGAACAAGTTCAAGATAATACCAATAGCCAAGATCAAAACAAGTCCAGTAATAGTCGACCAGGAACTATACCCATACGACACTGAAGGCAGGATGCTTGGATTAAAACTAACAAAAAGAGGATATATAACATACTTAAAAGATAAAGAATGACAGGCAAGAATAAGATTATCAAAAATAAAACGCTTTAAGAACCTTAGCATTAATAACAAGAGAAAGATATATATAGCCCTTGTCAAATCAATTATGGACTACCCACCCATCCCATTGAACACCCTTAGTAAAACGAGCATTAAAAGGTTACAAACAGTACAAAATATAGCCCTCAGATTTATATATAACATAAAATATACAGACCACATCAATAATGAACAGCTACACGAGAGTAAACCTCTTAACAATCAATGTAGAAATACACAACAAAGCTGCAAATATTTGGAAAAAAGTGACTGAACTTAACACAGAAACATATCAAAACTGGATAAATAATATAGACAACGAAGAATTCCAAGAACACAGTTGGTTTAAATCAGCCAGGAAGAAAGTAATTGAACCATCTCCTGCCCCAATATACACATAAAACATTAATAGAGAATAAAAGATGTGTGACCTACCAGCTCCACTAAGAGCCTGGCAGACCTCTCCATACAGTGTATCTTTAAACGAACATTTAACTAACATCTTAGCAAAAAAAAAAGTCCTGACCTCACCTCTCACGTTGTCTCCACCAAGTCTTCCTCCTTCTCTCATATCTTGTCTCCTTATCTCAGTTATTATCAAATCAGGAGAGAATGAATAAAAATAATAGTTTCCACTGACAGTCAACCACATCTCAACGACGCTCATATTTTCACTTATTTTAGTCGATTAACTTAACTTATTACGTAGTTTAACTTACCATGATGTAGAGTAATTGTCTTAATTATCACTTCCGGGTCAAGGCTGTACTTGACGTAAAGTAACATTAAATAGATAAACAAATGGAATTCTTGGATCAAAAGCTCCACCATGTTTACATCTGAGTCAAATGAAAACTGAAATAATTATTATTTTTTATTTAAATTACAATAATTATCTATCAATCAATTATCTTGTTACATATAATAACAAATAATCTCTAATTAATTAATGACTTAACTTATTTTTATAAACTACATTTATTAGATATTAACTACAACGATAATTTGATCATAATAACAAAGGGACCAATTATATAAACGTATTTTTCAATTAATTTTCTTATTTTTTAAAGTATTTTTGCAATTTATATTGATTATATTTTTTTATTTTTGTTATTGATAGTTTGTCGATAAATTGTCTTAATATGTAATTTAACTCAACTGAGGGAGATATATATATATATACAGTATATACACAAGAAAGAATACTGTTGAACTACTGCTGTTTTTTACTTCCCATTTTCTGTGTTAGCATGAATGTGGGAGAACAAATATTTTGTAGTAACTGAGGCATATTTTTACCGATTAATAACCTGTATTTTTTGTTATTGTTAGTTGCTACTGGTATGTGTTTGCAGTGACTTTATCTCCTTTACAAAGCCATAAGTGTAAGATGGAAGACAATTATTGAGAAGAGTTGTGCCACTTCCATGTAAGGAATATAGGATACAGGAATCCTGACCCAAAACATACAGGTACACCTTTTTTATCTCAACATTAATTCCATCATTTGAAAGCACTAGTTAACAAATTATAACTCACCTAGAGCCTGTACAATTGCTTTCTAGACTGCACTTTACACATGAAACTTGGAATAGGTCAATCCTATAACTCAGGCATCCAATAAAGCCATACAAGACAAAAGCATAATCACCAGAAAATCTTCAAAATCAGTTTGGTCTTGGTCCCAAATTTGAGGGGCTATACTTATACCAACAAACAGTGAATGAGGGAAAGTACCACTAATCCTTGGAATAACCCTTAAGTAACACAGTAGAGCAGGCAACAAGTATTAACAGCATACTTATGGCAGATAAAATGTGAAAGTCAGGAGCTTGCAGTCCCTTTTTATGGCTGACTGGAATTTCAAGATGAACATAAATTAGACTAAAGCTTCAGGCCTGGTGACTTGTTGGTTCACTGGCTTCCAAAGCGATCACCAAGCTGGGGTTGAATATTATGCTTAGTTAACCCTGACACTCCATAAGAGCCCTAGTCTTCAGCAATTTGTGCTGATCTTTAAGGACAGCATAACCTGCCAGACAATGTTAAGGGATTATTCTACCAAAGGGTCTTTTTCATTGGCTACTTGGCATTCTACCTGTAAGCCATAATTTTTGTTTCAATAATAAACATTATGTACAGACAGTATGCACAATTTTACTTAAAAAAGAGCAGTAATTAAGCAACTTGGTTCACCCAAGCAGAAAAGAATGACTCGTGCTCTACAGACTTTTCATTAGTTATAAACACCTGTGCTAAATTTTCATAATTGTAAGTTCGTTTGAGGAATGTGTCAGTCAGACGTACACCAGCTATAGTCTGAAAGGAAATAATTTTTTTAGTATTTTTTCACAACTTTAATATTATATAAAATAATTACACTCTAATTATTGCTTGTATATAAACCAAACCCTTCATCTTCCAACCTGTCAATTATCATGCCTACTCCAGTGAAGGAGGAGCAGTCACCATAGCACTGTGCTGTATGTCACATGTATGTCAGTTCATTTGCCAGAAAGCAAGTTGATATAGTAGTTAGCAACTGGCTGGAAGCCAACTTAATTGACGCATGAATTTGTTTAAGGTGTAGAAGTTTTCACCAACTACAATCACGTTGGCCTCCAGATGAGGGGTGCCCGCCCTCTCCATTAAAAAACCACGAGTCAGGGTGGATGTAAAGGAGTTTGTTTGCTTCAACAACATTTCACTTGCATTGCCAACTCGAGCAGATGGCAGCTCTTATTACTGGTTTCATGTCAGAGGCAGGTAGAAGGGAATGATATGCCACAGGGCAAAAAGCAGCTGCATTTGCCACAGCATCAGCACACTAATTCCCCTTTTCCCAACATGGGCCGGAACCCAGTAAAAACTGACTTTCCGGCTATGACATTGAATGAAAATAGGCCACTCTAAAATAGCTATTACCAAGGAAATGGGGTGATGAGACACTTGCTAAGGCCTGGAGAACTCTGTGAGAAACACAAAAAATTGCTATGAGGTTGGGTAAACATAATCTTGATGGCAAATAAAATACCTGAAAGCTCTGCCGTAAAAACAGATGCCACAGAAATTGGGAAAGACTATCCCAAAACCCACCCCTGTATTCGTCTGGATAATCAAGTCCAATATGTTGAAGCTAAGAAAAACTGGAACACTATCTGGAATCTCCTGATCTATTGCCAGAATTGCTTGCTGGTTTGAAAATTTACCAGTTTAGGTGGACGTGTGAAGCCCCCTTAACTGAGGACATGGAAGTGTTTATCACATACTAAAGAAATTTTTTACAGGTGGTTAGTCTGTTAAGGAATAGTCTCTGAGAAAATAAGGTATCAGAAAAGTATATTAATTATTGATCATATGATATCAATTAAACTAAATAGTATAAAGGTGTTATCAACTAAAACTAATCTATAACTTAATATCCTGTTCTACAAAATGACACATAAGTTATCATCAAAAGCTTATCTAAAATTAAAATAAATTCTGGTTTTGTGTGACCTGTATGAAAGACACCACTAACCTGTAAACCAGTCTGTAGTGGTACTAAAGACAGAGAGAGATTTGTAGACTGTCCAGGCTGAAGGGAAGGTAAACTGCGGCTGCTAACCCCACTCCATTCTGAACCACCACCACCTCCCAGGAAATCAAGGTGCAACTCTAAAGTTCGTTCACTGTTGAGGAACAATGTATACTGTAATATTAACAAGTAAGGAAGGACTCTGGTATCAAGAATCACAGCTGATGTAGTTCCCTATATAAGAAGATCCAACCACAATATAAATTGTCCTTACCGTTATCAGGTAATTTAAAATCATATAAAATATAGCACATCCCACAATTCCCTACAAATATGCTATAAACACTACAGTTTATGTGTTAGTATTAGCTTATTCTTTAATAAATTCATATATCTCCCATGCAAATACTCATTCACAAAAGTTTCCCCTCTAACCAGTAGTCTGATATTAATTACCTGAAGAAAAACTAAATCAATATATCCTCAGCACATGTCAACTGTCAGTCAGTTCTTTGTTGTGCACTCTTGGCAAATATTGGAAATGCACAGGCTTTCGAGTGTATAGGAACATGCACTAGTGTTCATAAGGCCTGGTCTTCTCACTTGGAGCTGCAATAACTTCCTTAGGTTGAGGTTGTGAACTATAGTGGAGCAATCATTAGCTAATTTTAGGTATGTACAGTCGCCCACAAGTATTTGTACACACACCTATGGATCTTGTGTGGGGGTCAAATTATCTGGTAACACTTTCCTGTAGAGAACTGTCAGAATTCCAAAATAACCCTTTATTTAAGTGTTATTTCTACATATACTGTATGCTATGAATGCAGTATTTGAATAGTGTCAGGTCTTGAAAACACAATAAATCAGTTGAGTGGACAAATATACAAGTTGTTACTGGTTGATATTGCAGTAGGCTTATTGTGCCCTCCTCCACCTCCCAACCCATTTAATGCTACAATTGATAGAATATCATCAGTGTGGTAGTGGATAGTAAACAAAAACAATAGGCAAAGTTTGGTAATGCTAAAACAATTTTATGAGAAATGCTTCCATGCAGCAATGCAAGTAAATGACAAAAGTGTTTGTAACAACCAATGCTCTAGTGTATAATCTGAAGGATGAAAGAAACAAGTTGATTAAAAGAACTGAGAAAGGATAGAATTTTAGTGTGGTAGATGATGATAAATTGTCATTTAAGGAACATATACAAAATGAAGTGAACAAAATGAGTCTCTTAATAGACCTGATCCAGCAAACATTCCCACTGAGCTGGGCTAGAAATCTCCTGGAAACAGCAGATACTGTACTTAAAACTGGATAATGTATTTGGTAAAATAGCGTACAAAATATGTAACGCAGATACTTGAAACTGCAGTTGGTAACCCATCGTTGGTGAGGGATTACCATGAAGTACATACATACAAAATTCTGTTTCCACATTTGTTGATGTAGAAAATAAAAGTAAACCATTAATCAACTTACTCTGTCAATCTATGACCAGACATCGATTCAACATAACAAGCTTACCTTTATTTTACGCTTTATAACCACATTTCTTCTACTAATTCCAATAAAGTGCAAAATAATCATCATAAATTCACTCTGTGAAAATTATTTCCATATTATTTAAATTGTCCTTGTGATAAATAAGGTGGTCATACAGACTACATCCACAGTACAGCAGAGCAGCTTACCATATATTAGTGATGGATAAGCCAACTTCAAATTGTTCTTCCAAACGCACCACACTGGGAATCCGTTCAACCGTCACTCTTACATCTCCATACTGTGGTGCCTAAAACATAAAAAATATCAATCAATTATGGTTCATAATAGCCAATAAAATATCATACACTGTAAGACTAACATACACTGTATACACTATTTTAAAAACATTAACCTTGACTTTGTAAGAAAAACTATTATGACTCTTTTCCACTATGCTGTACAGAATAATCAATGTTGCACTTTGGTCAACCAAATATCAATCTTCAAACCATTCTCTGCAGCTGGCTAGTTTGAAGGCGACCACGATCACCCATGTTTGTCCGCCACACAATATCAAGTTTCCCTATAGCAGTGGCTTGCCGTAGAGCTGCAGGATTGCTACGTGCCTCTGGTTTGGGTTTTAGACAATACAAGTATTGTCTGGTGTCATGGGGGTTAACTACATTCATTCTTCCAAACACCAATGTATTTGATTCTTGTGAAACCTTATTCATGGGGGTAACTGAAATAAATAATTCAACTTTAGTGAACAGATGAAAATGTAGTACAGTATATGGCTGTTTATTCATAAACAATTAAATGTATCATTGTGGCTATATATCTTACATATTCGTGTTAAATATTAGTTACTCTGGATCACACCAAATGATGACAGTAACTCATTATATACAGGTGGTCCCCTGTACCCACCATTTTCCTTTTTCTCACTGGAAAATAATTACATAAAAATAAAGACTACCGCCACATCTGAGTTAGAGCTTACTTCATAAACCTTAGTTCAGGTGGGCAAGTAGTTGTTTATGCAGCACTTACCTACACTGATCTGACAGAACTGTTCTTGCCTCTATGGCACTGAGCTTCCTGGAAAATGCAGGCCTACCAAGGGGTGTTCTTGTGATGGAATCTGTTAGGTCATTAGCTAAATGAATCACACACCACAAATACAAATGTGAATGAAGATAAAATACTGTACCTGAAAAGTATGGTGAAGGTTCAAGCTCTACTTTCTCCAAGCACAGCGGTCCTGATGTAATGTTCTGGACTCCTGCCTCCAAATAAACCTCATCTGACTTGGAAGAAAATAAAATATGCTAAACACATCCATCAAGACTAAAATTAATTGATACTTAAAGGTAAAAAGATGCACAATTATCATCTTGTTATTACCAATTACCACCATAATATCTCAGGTGTCTCACAGTGCCTGTATTACTGTACAGTATTTACAACATTCACCTTTAGCTAAACCACATAAATGAATAATTACTCTGTACACTAGATAATAAAGTCTAATGGTTGTTATATATATACAAGATCTTTAAACAAATAATGGTGTGTAATTTCTGCAGTGGAGAAAAAAAAAAGTCATTTTCTGGTGAGTGAAAGCACTGAATATATGCGAGTTACATTAGAGACTCCAAGCTAAGTAGTACAGTACAATAGTTGGTGCCAAGCAAGGGGAGTAGGATAAAAAAGTAAGAATGCATGTTAAGTACAAGAAAGCCTGGTTGCTTTGAGGAGAAATACACCTCATATTCTTTATGAGTATTGATGCTTCGATCCTCCTGGAGGACAATGATGAGGCTCTCAACGGGGAGAAGAGCTTACTGTATATACAGGCACTGCCAGCCCACTCCCCAAGTTACATACTGTACAAGCCAATTATAATTCAGTTTGTAGAATGCAAGTACAATACTAACTTATATAAAACACTTTGTATGATTCCCTTGTTTTAAGAAACGAAATAGGGATTCCTAATAAAAAAACTATACCACAGTAATTAATACAGTATACTGTACACAATATCTTCACATGAATACCAAACCAGATGCTTCCAGAGTTAAACTATACAGCACCTTTATGCTTCAAGCCTACTACAGTACAGTAAAGTACAGTATTACCAATACAGTACTGTATATGGCTTCAGTTCTTCCAGTCACACATCTTAGGGTAAAAAAAAGTCATTGAAGGTTAGCGACAATGTAAGCTGAATTTTCAATAAACTTATTCTTCTCACTCATTACCGGTAAGTCATACTATATTTTACGACTCCTTACTCTGTGAATAAGCTCTTCTACACAGAGGAAACTTTGCCTTGTACATTCCACTTCTTGACTTTACCCTTTTACATGTGTTATTATCCAATTGTAAATGCACTGCTTTTCATCCCCAAAAGAGAACTCAATGCTACATTCTCATGTCAATCACTCATAGTTGATTCCTATAAATGCATCCCCCTCACTTCTCCTGAGTCCTTCACCTCATCCTTCATATTATTTTAGGTCTTCCTCCTCTCACCTACTTCTGAATTACATACTGTACTCATTTCAAAAACATTTCTCTTCCCATTTTCATTATGCCCACATCAACATACTCACTGCCACTCACATTCACAAGGTTGATAAAATCTATATATGGGATAAGCAATTACAGTAAAGGAGATGATATATCCATTTGTAATGGGCAGACAAAGTGCATACAACTTTTCAAGCTGATCTGTTTAATATTCCGGTTATTTGGGAAAATAACTGATCATGTCTATTATGGAACAGCAAATTGATTGTTACTTTCCATATAGTAAAAGGATGACAAATTCTCAGCAACATAAAACCCCAGATCTCTTACCTCCGGTCTTGTAATCATTATCTTTCGCCTCCTAGATTTACACTGATGATTCCTGCAGTCATAACATTTGCTTATTGTCTACGTACGATTGTTTTCTTTAAATTTATAGTACAATGGATCTTAAAACAAGCTGCAACTACTGTTTAAAAAATATCAAATAAATCAGATAATGAGATGAACTCACTTATAAAATAATTATGGGACAATGCCTCTTTTCAGAAGCTGTGGATTATCTTTACGGGTCTGGACTCTCCAGGGTTAAGATTCAGAAAAGGTCGACCACGGAACTTTATAGTGAAGCTTATAAAGGGAGATAGAGCCCCCCCCCCCAAAAAAAAAGAAAATAAAAAAATCCTTATATATATTACGTTTCCGTCGCAAATTTATATTTTTCAAGTTTTTCGGACTTTTCGATTACACTTAAGAAAGTTCATTTTGGCGGGAGACACTGTTTACATCTTACTCACATAACTATGTCCCGCCAATCAGCGATGTTTCAGTGTTATGTGATACTCCTGCCAATGCTCAGAGTATTGAATTTTGTTTGGCTAGTTACAAAATGGAATCTCTAAGCAACAAGTGTCCTTCGTCAGCTTGGCAAACCATTTATCGTGTCTTTGAAAATGAAGCTGCTTCTATTGGCATTTTTAAGGTTCATGTTATTCTGTCAAATTCTATGAAGTGTGCAAAGTGCAGTTCACACTGTCACTATCATCAAGATACAGTATATGGTTTTGTACTGAAAGACAAAAACTCGTCAAGACAAAGAAATATCCTCATTGTGGTTTCTGCATTTAAGGGCACTTGGTTGGTCTAAGTACAGTAAATCCTCAGTTAATGTCGTGGTTACGTTCTTGTAAACTGCAACATTATGTGAAACAATATTAAGCAGCTAAATCTTTCCCATAAAAAACTTAAGCAATAAGTAGATTACGTTCCAAGCCTCCCTTTACCCCCATAACATGCATCAAAATTAACACAATATAAACACGATTGCAATTACTTGTATATTTTGCACTGTAAATACATATAAATGTAAACCACAATAATGTTTAATTAAAATTTTGTATGATATATTGTACTCACTGATGACCAAAGGTGCGGTGGGAAGGTGGCAGTAGTGGAAGTCACTGAGACCCAGAGGGTCCTCCCCCTTCTCCCACTGCCCACATCACTCAAAGACAAAGCACTTCTAGAACTGGGTCTTAATTTTCTCAGCACTAGCACAAATAGTACATACCATGGTAGCAGGTAAACCCAACACTACCCCTATATTCACAGCATGTTTGCCAGCTTCAAAGCAATGCCAAACATCCATCTTCACTGTAAGACTTATGCTTTGCCATTGCTTCTTGCAATTAGCAGTACTGACAGAATCATTTGCTGGTCATTTTGAAGTCATATCAAAGGACAAAGTAGAGCTAAACAACGTAAACAAGGTGAACGCGAGGTACACATGACGGCATCCACACACGGCAGAGGTGTAAGCGAGACTGATGCTCCGTGGTGAAGTTTTAAAGCATCGCTAGGTAGGCAAGGGAAAGTGTTGCGCTAAGCAAAGTAGTACCATCTGACTGACAAAGTAATAAAGATTTTACACAATGTTATGTGGAGCCTTGGTATATTGTAGATACAGTATCAACATAATAACGGTACAACATTACCAGGGACAATGTTACGGAAGGACTTACTCTACCAAAAAAGTAGCAACACTTTATCATCCACCATCTAATAATTAAGATAGGTTAGGTTAGGTTAAATTAGGTTAGGTTAGGGTTGGTTAGGTCTTTTTTCCTTCATGTTTTTACCCCACAATTTCCCTCTACTGTACTGTACTGTACTTGAAAGCCCCGCCCACTTTGTGCGATCAAATTGTTGGTAATGGGGGGGGGGGGGTCAAATCTGAACAGGTCATTTCCAACAAAAATGAAGGTCAGATTAAATTAAAACACCACAAAATAGACTAAAAAATCTATTCTTGTTAGTAGTTTCTGTGGTAGACCTTTTCCGATCTTTACCCTCTCTGGAGTTTGACCATACTGTACAATAGAAATTGATGATTGTACAGTAAAAAAAATCATTTCACCATTAATATTTACATATACAATATAAACAAAATAAATGCACAAATAGGCATGAGTCCTGATGCATTCCAAGCACAAAATATATGTAATAAAATGGAATGAGTGCACTGAAAGCATACCATAATTAGTATTTTACTCTAAGGTGTGAAAAGGTGAAAGTGGGTCCCATAAGCATGACTGCCTAGATCACCAAAACACATTTAAACAAGAATTAAAATAACACTCATTAGTCATCAAACTGTTAAAAAACAAAACAAGTATAAATGAAGTACCGTATTAGAATATTGGATCCCACTTAATAGCTACAGGATGACAAGAATGAACTGTGAGATCTATCACCAGTAAACACCATTCTGGCAGAGTCTGTCATTGCCAGTACGTTAGCACTGCTTAGAGGCAGGACACATTAACCATATGGACAAAGTAGTGATTGATTAAAGCTCCTCATCCAGTTCGATCATTTTTCTGAGCCTCTGATCTGGTGGTTGTCTCATTCAACTCAGGTCATGAGTTGAATCCCCTATTGAGGTTCACATTTCATGAACCACTTCAGCCATAAGTAGTTAACATAATAAGTTGAGCTTCGTTGCTTCCAATTTATAACAGCATTTAACCCTGTAACTGCTATCATAGCGTTTGGCTGATTTGCCAAAATAATGCCATTGTCGTCTTAAGACAATTGGCATTTGGCATCATGAATTTAAAGCTGTGCATCAAAAAGCAAATAAAGAATGGAAAGTCAATGATTGATAAGACACTATAGAGTGAGATACAAGGCTGGTGGCATTTAAAATCAACTTGCTATTCTCATATTTAAATTATTTACACCATCATCATACACCCCCTTCCTCCTGTCCTCAGTGGCCCCTCACCCATACCTACAGTGCCACAGCCTGGCTCACAAACTATGCAAAGGAGCCACCCACTTTGCACCATAAAAACCCACTGCTGCATTACCACAACCACGTCGTTTGTCACCACAACAAGAAACAGCACTTAGCAGTTGGCATTCACTCTTCACCTCACTTCATAGGCCTATAACTTGCCACCCATGATAGGTAAAAGTTTTTATTTAGTTATTATGGCTTCTAATTCTTTTATCTTTAATTGCATAAGATTTTTTTAACTTTCATGTCAGTACTGTACAGTATATGGGGTGCCCTTGATTTCCCAGATGTTGCAGTTATTGGGTCAATGGAGGAGAACAGGATCCAGGTCACTCATCTTGTCCACTCAGCCATTACATAGGATTTCATTCTTAAAATTTTCATCCAAATGAGTGATTAGCAAGATTTAACCCCCTGAGGATAGTGACTGCAACTCATGGCCATTACCCACTGGAGAAGGATATGCTGTACTGTATTGAAAAAAATAATAGTAATAATAAAAATTAAACATTTGAATCTTACCATAAAGTTCCTCATTACACCCCCAAAGTTCAGAGGTTGGAGGAATAAACAAAGAACATCTCCATTCCCTTATGGGAGCCACATGGGTGGACATATAGCTTGTGGAAGCTACTCCATCACCAGTATATTCCTCATCCTTATCACTCATATTCTCTTAAGATTTACTAGTCAAGTCTTAAGGGAATTCACTATCTTTACTTATATCACTGTCACTGTGCATAGGAGGGTCATCCTTCCTTAAATCTCAAAAAATATATAGGTACTGTATACCTGTATACGTATACTGTATATTCCTGGGAGGCAAAATCTAATTGGAATTAAGTACCTCAAAAACCAATCAAGGTTGTTAAAACTTGTGTTGCTTATATACTGTAATCAGCAATTATGGATTTCTTAATCCACTTATTTGTAACATTAATTTATATCCAATGTCAAGCCTAATTAATGACTGCCATCAGAAATTCACAACAGTTATATGTCAAACAAAGCTCTTTGAATAAGCACAGTAACCAGACACAAACCAACAGAGCAAGTGTCCAACAATACAGTACACCACGCACCTTACATATCTAAAACAAAAAAGCTTTAAAAGTATAATAAGCCCAAAAATAGTACTACTACAGTACAGTGTTGCACATAGACAACAAAACTAAGCAGCAATACTTACTCCTCTTGGCTTGTCTACCTGGGAATCAGATGCTGACAAGGGAGTTTTACCAGTAATTGTAGGAGCTGTGTGGGTTGACATCTGAACCCCCTTCCCCCTTTTTTTTTTAATAATTCAAGATATGTTAGCCTGCCTGTGAGTTTTAACTCCTGACCTGAATGCCTCACAGGTTGAACGAGATATCTACCTAAACAGAAGCTCAGAATCCCAATTCAACTGAGTGAAGTGCTGCTTACCATAACAACATTTTCAATATAGATAATGTATCCTACTACTGAACAATACAAGCCAAAAGGGGATGTTTACTGGTGGTACATCTCACAGATTACTCATCTCATCTGAGGGTCATAAAATACTTTAATCAAACTATGAACATAAAAAGAAAAAGAATGAAGAACTTCAGGCTGTACTTACAACATAGTCCTGCATGCAAGTGAGCATGGCAGCAGGCATTCATGCAGAAGCAAGCAAAATGGCCATGCAAAAACATGCTGGAGTTAGATATTTGGAGATATAAAAATAGCACACCTGGGTCTTGTTGTGTGCCAACTTGAAAAGAAATAAAGTTATCCTTAAATTCTAAGATTATTTACTTAACACTACACAAACAGTCACTACTTAAATGATTAATTACTACACAGTACATGTACTAAATATATTATTGTCATGTTAAACTAATGGAAACTCTACAGAATACTAAAAGTGTACCAGTACCAGAAACTATTTACCAAGAGCCACAATTATAAATTACTGGAGCTAGAAATACTTACATAAATTTTTTTCTTCAGATTATGAATTATGAATATTACATTGAGTCATGTCCCAAGTGATTAAAGTACTAAACTAAATATAAGGGAATAAAATGTTTCAGGTAGTTATATTCAACATTCTAAAAATTAAATTTGCTACAGTGATCCCTGTAAATGTGCTAGTCATCATCATCATCATTTTACTACAGCTTGAAAATAGCCCTGGACAAGATTATTGAGAACAATTGGAGATCTTACACAGGTCATTGGCCTCTATCTTCAGTCATGGCCACTTCTAGTTGAGGTGACCTTCAGGCAAATCAGGATTAATAGGATTGTGTAGAAGTTTGTACAGCATTTGTGGGCGCATAGTGGAAAAATCAACTACCTGTACTGTACAGTTATGTGTGTATTATAATGGCCCCAAAATACACTGTAGAGTCTTTAGATGAAGTTACAATCAGCAAGATAACAAAAGGAAAAGTTTCAAATTTGAAACTTAGAGATCCACCTGCCTCTTGCATCCCCACACTACATCCATCCACCATCCTGACTACTATATGCTGTTGTCACCATTCACCAGTGTAGCCAATGTACTTATAAGTTTAACTCACTATAATACTATGTAGAACAAATCTTGGTAATGCTAAGAGAATAAGACTGTTTACCTACCATTAAAAGCCTATACTTTTTATTAAAAATCTTATACTATGAGTGGGATCATACATGTCTTCAGGACAACATGTCCAACCACCACAAACCATTCCTGCCTGCCTCCTCAACAACTATGCAACACCACCACCATCCATCAATATCTCCAAAGTTTTTATGGGGTAAATATACTTGTTTGTACAGGCAGTGTAAATTATGCTATACAGTATACTGTATAGTGAATTTGGAAATCTACCCTTTTTAACAGCATGTACAGTACAGGGTATTCTTATTTATTTTAAAACTTAAACAGTGAAGAACATTTATATTCTTCACAATGATATGATCAGACTTGAATCCTTCTGATTTTTAGGTACCTGTTTATTGCACATCTTAAAATACAGTATAGTAAACACACAAGGTTCTTGAATGAAAACAAAGATGATCCTGTACTATGGTGTGACCATACATGTTATCAAAAGCACCATGGCCAGCTGCACAGCATAGCACCCACCCACCTGCTACCTCAACAACCATCATCATCCACAACTACAGTACAGGTAAAGTATCTCCAATGTATTTACAGACTGAACCTACTTGTGTAAATTATGCTGTTTTATGATGAATAAGAATGGTTATAATTCCATTAAAAGAATAAAATTTCAAGAATTCAGATTGAACCTTTTATGACCCATCTTTCAACCCAAATCTTGAGCATTCACAGGGATCACTATAATATGCTTGTTGTGTCAGTCATGTAACTTGTAGATAAAAGAATGATTTATAAGTTAAAAAAAGCCACCATTCACAGATATAAAGGAATGATTACATACCATATTTCCCAGCCTATAAGTTGCACTTTTTTTCCTTAATTTTTTTCCTTAAAATCACCGTGCATCTTATCGGTCAATGATGACGTTTAAGGTAGGAAGTTCCACTCCAAACATGAACCCCAGAGACATCAAATACAGTTCCCAAATGGCTCAGATATATTACACAGGCTTATAGTACACTATACTATGCTTAGATAACAAGCAACTAATTTTAGACTTAAAACTGGTATGATGATCAGCTTCTAAATATTACTGGGCCATAATTCCTATGCCTATGGAACATTATCCTACATATCACTCACCCACCGCATGTTTTGGTAAACTAACGCCATCTACGGGTAGGTGGACCCACTAACGTAACAGCTCAGAGGTACGGACATTTCCTATACAACTGAAGTCTCGGTATTGATGTTCCAAACAAATGTTCATGTGTTTGTTCAGTTATTTTATTATTCTATGTTCTGATAATAAAATAATTTTGTTAACTTTCATTCTGTTTATTGTTGGTGTAGTAGGGTTATTGTAGCATGGAAAAAGTAGCCAACCTGGCAGGCAGACATCACAGCCCAAATGCATGGTACATTTTTATTTAGTATCATGTATTCAACTGTGAATATTGTAATAATTTTTAAAAAATATAAACCCATAAGAATTTTTTTTTAATGTGTAGTTAAATAAATTTTATTCCCTAAATACAAAATTTAATGATTTCTGTGGGGGTGGTAAGCTATTTAAGCTTTCAAAATATTTTTTTCTCCCAAAATAACCTCCGTTATATTAGGGTGCGTCTTAACGTCTGAAATTTTTTTCTCCCAAAATAACCTCCGTTATATTAGGGTGCGTCTTAACGTCTGAAATCGGCCGAGAAATACGGTAGTTGTGAAAGCCAATAACTTAATGTCAAAAAGCTTACTAGTTACAATACTAATAATCACCTTGTCATGAAATTACATTAGTTATGAAAGATATCGATAAACTGTGAAGGAATAACACAGTACAGCATGCCCAGATAATTTGCGGATTATTATTTCACGGTCCTCTATTATCGCGGATGACACCCTGGATGTACCCAAGAATGTCTGCGGGTAGTTTTAAAGTTGCCAGCTTTTATGCCGCCGGTACAGGGAGCGCACGAGTTTTGTGGCGTCCCACAAGGTGTCTCTCTTGTCCGGGAGGCTGGCCCACTCACGCCCGCTCCCTACTCCTCAGTCCGGGATAAACACTTGTCCGCCTCACGAGCGTGCTACTCTGCTCTCATAACAACTGTGCTCCTCGTGCTTGTGATGGCTCCCAAACGCCCTCAACTACCTTCATCCAGCTGCGGGAAGGCGCCCAAACAAGTGAAGATAGAAAAGAAGGTAATGACCCTCGTGGAGAAGATACAACTGCTGGACAAACTTAGGAGTGGCCAAAGGTTTGCCGCGTGTGGCCGGGAGTATGGCATCAACGAATCAACTGTCCATTACATTAAGAAGAAAAGAGAAGGAAATACTAGAGGGCATTTTAACATAGTGACAGTACAGAAAGGTAAGATTGGCTGGGAGTGAATACATACACTGGTTAATTACGAGTTGTTGATAATTTTTATAATGGTTGGAACTGGGCTGTACAGGTAAAATAAATAATTATCCTAAGGGCAAACACATTTCTTTGTACTCAGGTAAAAATGTATACCCCCCCTCCTCCCCCGGTCAGCAAATCATATTCGTGGGTTTGACTATTTGCAGCCACTTTGAGAACCTAATCCCCGCGAATTTGATGGGCATGCTGTACAGTAAAGTAAATAAATCTGTGAACTCTTCAACAGGACATGTGCAAGAAAGAAAAAACAGGAATCTGGAAGACTGACAATATTAGGAGAAATTATTATACCTCTAAAGCTTAAACATGACACTTCTACACCTACTACAGTAAAAATCCCCATAATTGAAAATAATAAGGGGAAAAAATGGTACTTTCCGTTATCTGCCCCAAGCAAAATATAAACGTTTCTAAGTACTGTACTGTACCTCTGTGGTTATCAGATATAATGGCTCAAACACTGGGCAATGATGGAAAAACATGTGGAAAAAAGCTTGTACGATAGACCATAGATATACACTCCACAATTGACTAACATGAACTGACTCAAGATTCAACTGACCGTAACCAACATGCATGACACGTATAGCACCTGTACTTTGTTTACATTCAGATGGGCAGTTGACGGTGGCATCCCATGGCGACATGAACATCATATAATATACTCGTAAATGTCTCATAACTACAATTTTTACCAAATACAGGCATTACAAAAATGTTAAAATATACAGTACTATTGTATATCTTAATATTTCAAAATGTTACCAAATATTGTATTAAAAAATGTGTAATACTGTAGTATATATTTCATAACAACAAAACATTATGAATTATGAGTGACTTTGAATTAGTGGGATACAAATTATGGGGTTTTTACTGTACTGTATAATACTCTTGCCCAATCTAAATAACATGCAATAAATTAAATGATACTGTACTACATTAACAAAACAGTACTGTAATATAGCATATACCAGAAACAAATATACAGTAAAGCCTGATAACATCCTGTACAGTACATACATATATACAGTACCAAAAACAATATAAACATAGCACATATCTTTCAGGGGCACACCTGTACTCCTGCACACCAAAAGATCTACTGCAGTATGTTTGAGTCACTAATGAATTACCCCACACTAAGATGCTTGCTCTCAAGAGGATAATCAACTCATTTTATAAATATACAGGTAGTATTAATTTTTCCAATGCTATGACATAAGTGAAGTTTCAACAACAGAAATTTGAAGAATACTTCCACATCTGCTGCTGACAACCCCTTGCTCACTGAGGATGGAGTATATATGTTCTAATAAATAATTACTCCTAAATGGGTAAGCATGTGGCATATAATTACCTCTTGATATTTTTTGTTTAAAGCTTTTGTTGCAATGGACACATACTATGCCAACTATGAAACAGCCAAATACACATTAGTCCAATACTCTTTTCAGCAAAAGCAACCCACTGCACATTCAAAATATACCATACTGTACTTTCATGCTGGTTCATGACAGATGTAATAAAGACATTACTAGTACAATACTGTACACCTATACATTACAGTACCTGTACATTGAAACAATAAGTCCCAACCAAAACCATTTCTAACCTCGAGTATTTCACACTATCAACAGAGTGGTCTATAATCACATGACTCATTGTATCTATTCCTTTGTACAGTAACCCACGTGCATGCATGCTGTGAGTTGGTTTTGTTATTTTCAACTCGTATTTTTGGATAGATATACAGAACAGTACATATCTTCTTTAATTCTTTTTTAAACTCTGTTACATGTAACACTGTACCCTCATTAATTCAGATAGTTATACAGAAACTTGGATTTTGGCTTAATTAGTATGTATTTTAACAAATTACTTAAACATTTTCAATTAGGAATGAATCCGAATTAACCGTGCATTTCCAAAAAGTTGATTATTATTATAGAAAAATATTATGAAATATTTTAGATTAAGATGAATTAATTATACGAATAAAACATTAAATATATTAAGATACGTTTGAGTGCGTAGGTGAGGGGTGGTGGAGGAGAGAGGACAACTCACCACCTCCCGCTCGTCAGCCCACAATCCCTTTATAACGACAGCATGCAATTTTACCATATTTTCCTTATTATTTAGGTTCTCTTGGTATCGGATTCATAAAACATAATCGAAAAACAATTAATTTCCCCCAAAAGGTCCCACACTCAATCCAAAATACATTCACGGTAACAGCTGATCGTTTCTGCTCTCCCTAACAATGTTGCCAGCACTCACCATCTCTTAAGCACCGGAATTTTCGGTAACTCGAGTGACCCAGAGCTCTTTTTGGTCGAATTAATGAAGGTACAGTATAGAGTAAAAATATATACAAAAATAAAAATACTGTAAAAATAAATAACGAGGAATAATATCTATGAAGATGGTGTGTAATTGAATAGTTGACTCGCCACCCAGTAGCACTCAAGAGTGGGTGAGGCTGAGCTGCGAGTTATGTTATTGTTCAACTAGTAATTTCGGGTAGATTACGTAATTTTCTTCATTTTCTTAATAACTTTTCCATAGCAGTGACAATGCAGGAAAAGCATTCAGGTAGCAACCATGGTAAAACTGATCTTTAGGCACCGCAGAGAGGTAAATGTGTTAATTTTTTCTTACCGTAAGACTGATTGAGCGTACAGTATATTGATCCATTGTATAACAGTCAATGTCTGTATACTGTATGTGAAATGATGTATATCAGTACAACATATAGCGAGGACCCCCTGTGTCACATAAAATTAAGTCGTTTATGTCATGGCCCAAAACTGGCTAACCTTCCCATCTGACAACAAATAAAAAACAATGGAAGGAATTTTAACAGTCTACTCATATTCTACCTACAGCAAAGTACTGAAAAAGCTAAACTTGGATTACTGGGTAATAAGTTTTAAGAAAACAGTTGAACCTTCCATACCTCTGCATTATAAAACTTGGTTTTCACATCCAGAGGCTTCATAACTTGGAACTTGAAGAACTTACGAAAGCTGAGACGATCTCCAGAAGATGACAAATAACTTACAGCACAAACCAGGCTAAAACAAATATGGACGAGTGAATAAACTTTTTAAAGACAATGGTAAATGAAATATCCCTCTACAAAGTAGTCATGCACTTTTCAACATACAAGATATTTTTTACTGTAAAAAGAATATTACTCCTTTTTTCAAATATGCTGTCTCCTGCTGTATATTAGGACAATTCAGAGATAATCTCCACTAAACACAACTTCAGTAGATATTTTCTCTCTCTCTCTCTCTCTCTCTTAACTACCTGAGCCTTCCACTTCATTATTACGAAAATTTCATCCATCATACATAATCTTCCTCTTTGTTGACTCAACTATTATATTACACTTGATTCATGGTCACTTGCACATATAAGCCTCAAGTAGACTTCATTCATCTGACAGCATGACTACTAAATGTTTCTGCTTGTTCATATATTTACTACCTGGTACAGTACTGAGAGTGGATCCACACTTATCAGTTCTAACATCAGAAAGAGTAAAAACCTTCATGCAGAAAGATATGTAAATAATCATACTTCATCATCTAATAAAATCCCTTATAAAATAAACTAACATGTGTGTGCCAATGTCCTTAACTTCATGCTGAATGACCTCATTAATGGTTCCATTTCCTTCTAACTGATGTAACATCTCATTGTCGTCTTCTCCTAATAATGGCACACGCTGGTTACTCATCTGCAGGACAGCCTGTGAAATAAATCTTCCATAAGCCCATGAATTTCATTTCACTACATTTTTATCTCATGAATAGTCAACAAACATATACACTACATTACAAAAAAATTAGAATGGAACCCTTTTGTAATTCACTCATTCAAGTTCTGTACCCCCTTCATCCACCTTTACTGAGCAGAAGATAATTTTAAGCCAAAAAATCTGAAGCCACCAACATAATAGAATAGGACTGACCTGCATTAAATACTGTATTACATGGTCCATCTACAATGAAGCATTCAATTTAAGATCTTGATAAAGTTTATTCTAAATAATATTCCAAATGACCATAGCAATAGGCTCATCACTGTAAGCATATCAAAACAACTCTGCTTACTAACCAACCATCTGTTTATCCAATTTTAGGCAATTTCTAAACTCATAACCTCTTATAAGTACTACACAAACAAGAATTATCCTTGAAAAAAGATCCTCCCAGGAAAGCAGCAATACAAGCTTACAAAAGCAAAATGTAAAGGGTTGAACTCTGGAGTCTGTGTCTATAGCCAATATGTATCCAGTACAATAGAAAACCAGCTTCAAGGTTCATACCAGTGTACCTCTGACACACTGACTTTAAAATACAGTTCCTAAACACAGTTGAATTTCAGCTTCATTAACCCTTTCAGTACTAGCCTTGGTCTATTACTTTTTTAAATAAATAAATGAATGAATGAACTGACCTTACAACTTGAATGAAAATAATATCGAAGGCCATAAAATCATAAAAAAACCTTAGCAGCTTCAGTTGCTTCATGTTTCCTTAGCAGTACTATATTTTGGTACAGTTCATCTTCCTGGCATCTCCCTGTCTGACAGTTTATCTATATACTGTACTCAAGCTAAACTCTAACCGAGTTACACCAAAAACCTCACTCTTTAATTGTTTTGTCCTTTAGGGGTAAGAACATTCTGCGCTATACCAAGGATTTGAAGAAGACTTTTTGTCGTCTTGATCCTATAAATGTTTCTTGGGTATCACTCACTCATGAACATGCTGCAGAGGGTAATTTTGTGTGATCTGAGAAATAGGCATTACTGATTTCCTGTATAGTATCCAGATTGTACCATCAGTTGCCTGCATCCATGAAGCAGCTGACTTCTGTGGAGGCCTTTCAAAAACAACCTCAAGACCTTTCTTTATTGAAAGCTTATGTACAATGATGGAAAATTACAGGGTTTAGGAATTCTTACAACTTAAGAATAAACGAACTGTCCCTTTGTGATTTTTTTTTATTATCAGCTCCCTGACTTAGTAGTAGGGTATTTCAAGCACTAGTGAATTCTTTGGAAGAATTGGCACTTTTAAGGAACATAAGACCAGCTATTATTACTATTATTTTTATTATTATCATCATCATATTCCTCTATCATAAAACTTTCCAACAAAATTCTGTCTATTGCTATCCATATCACCACATAATTGTTCTTATTCTATGGTGTCTGTAGCGTAACTGAATAGCTGGAAAATTTCTGAGGTTGAATTATTACTGCTGGTGAAATATGGTGTATCATTATGTGACTCAAGTCTGTTCTATGATATTTGAGACAGGTGGGATACATCAGCCCATATCTCGTACGTATTGCTGGAGCTGGATTCAAAAGATTTTGTTGGCTTATAAGCAATTTTGTTCCGACATAATGTAGTCAGTCAAACTGCTTGGAACACATGTACATAAAACTCTTTTCCTTTAGAAATAATGAGTATCTACATGTTTTTCACCCCCTTAAAAAATATAATACAGTACCTGTGTAAAAGTATTGTAAAAACTAAAAAAAATTGTTGATAGAAATGAAGGTGTAAATTATACAGTATACATGTACAGTACTACAGTACTGTAAAAAAAAATCCTGGATAGTTGTCATAAATTGAGTTATACCTGCACAGTACAGTAACATCTTAGGAAAACACAAATGATCATGCCATAATGAATAATTCTACCTACTTCTCTTACCATTTTTGTAATAATGATCATAAATTTGTCAAATGGAATTTTTAGCATTTTTCACCAAAGTAAACAAACTGAAAATGTAGTTGAAACCTGGCACTTATTGAGAACACCTCATAAATAAGTCAACACATAAAAATAATCACGTACTCCGGCAGATGAACTCGAGATACATCACCTTAATTGAAACTTCTCGAATACTATCACTCCCATCATTGTGGACACAGAGACAACACGAGAATGTCTCGCCCAGGTAAATGTTTCTGAAAATGAAAAAAATTGGATGACAGTAATGTACTACAGTGTATCTCAATAACTATCAAAACCATACAACTTATTATACTGTGCAGTTAATCCCTCGACAACCACGGATTTTGGGTATCTATTTCACAAACCGTGGCATTGAATTTTGAGTATCCACAGTTTAGAACAGTGTCATTTTCCCTCCGTGTTCCATGTACAGTATTCATCCACGCAGGTCCAGCTTCCTGCCACTGCACATGCCATGCTCTCTCAGTGTTGTCATCTCATACCATGCAGAGGTATTTTACTGCTCCGTGCACTGGATATTTATTACGTATTTTCTACCGTAATAACATTGATTTTGCCTTTAACTATGGCCCTTAAATGTGCATTGAGTGTTAGTGATAAAGGTGAGAAGAAAGTGAAGAGAGCAAAGAAAGAAATGAAGTGTTTGATAGACTTGTGCATGGCGAGAGCATAGTTTCAGTGGGACCTGCCATGGGGGCAAACAAATCCTCGATTCGTACGAGTGAGAAAAGTGAGGCTACAATCAGGGCTAGTGTCCTCATCCACCAATGTCTCAAGGAAGGTAAATGCCCCTTATACTGTTAAATTTATATAACTATTTAATTTATATTATGCTATTTTATTTGTATTTAACTAAAATTTAATGAAACGTACAATACAGGTATTGTTTTGTGAAGGTACAGGCAAATTAATTAGACTTTGATGAGCATTATCGGCAGCTATGAAACCTAACCACTTATTTTCCATAAGCCTTTACACAGATTGACCAACTACAGGGTTTTCCAGGAACCTAACCCTTGCAGTTGGCGAGGAACTACTGTACATATATAAAAATTCAGGCTTTGTATCCAAAAAAAAAAAAAAATCAGGGGTCGGATTATACAAGGGATACAGTAAGCTTATACATGAGTACTGTACTGTATACGTATACAGTACAATATATCTTTTTCAACTTTATTCACACTGCAAAAATCTCAAAACAGGTATTTAATCTTGATAAAGTATGAATAATGGACAATGGACAAATACTGTACAGTATACATGCACTGTACAATGAAGCAAAATAAATTGTAGTCACCATTGCAACACTACAGATCTCATGGAAAGTAGCAACAACACATCCTAATTTTGCTTCCTGAATGATCTCAAAGAATACTGTATATTCAGAAAACTTCTCATTTTCTTACTTCAAAGAATTAAATATTTGCTCACAAAACAATATAGTACTCTGTAAACATAACATGAATTTCTTAAAATAGCTATGGCCAATTTTAAAACTAAAGTACGTACACTAAATTCAAAGTTTACCAATAGCTTACATTTCATATAACAAGCATTTCTGGTAAAATGGTACTATGGAAGTTCAGGATTTTACAGTACTTCAAATAATACAATACTGTACTGGAATATAAAACATCTGGGAATATGCTGAAGATGAATTGCCTAAAATAAAACAACTGTCATAAGTACAGTACAGTATATCTTACCCAAAGCTCTGGGGCAACAGGAGCATGTGTCCCACCCCTGTGTTTGAAAGCCCCTGGGGAATGGCTATGTCAGCACGAATATCTGCATTGAGATATTCACCTGGCAAATCACGAGCATCACAGCCAATGGCTAGACCAGTAAATAGCGAGGGTCGAGTCAACCGCATAACTGCAAGTAAAGACCACACAGTACACTCAAATTGTATTCTGACACCTGATAAGTGTATACAGTATACAGTTCATCTCACTATAATCCCTGCATGTTTCATTCTAAATCTAGCTAAAGAAATATAATTACTCTTTTGACACAGGCATGGTACCAGCAACAAAGTTCAGGTACAGTATATAGACACAGTTCTGTAGTTTATTTGTGATAATGATACATAAATACCTGTACGTACTGTGAATTCTTTCAAAGTTTTTAATTCATAAAAAGAAAACCAGCAAATGATATTCTATATAAAGACAATGCAGTACAGTACAGTATAAAGAAATCAATACTGTATAGAGTACAGTATTTATTAGTAAGTTCTGTAAATAGCCTTCCACCATCTAATACACTATAGGACTAGGCATGTGTCTGTCTGTCTGTTCTGGGCAGCCGAAACGGCACAATCGTTTTTCATCAAACTTGGTGGAAAAATAGCAAAAAAATTTGTAGAGTGGAACAAACCTGGTCCCATGTCGACGGTTTCTTTAGGAAGGCATTAATTAACCATTTTATTTACGATGGAAAACGATGCAAGTCTATGGACTTGGCGCACCCTAATTAGCCATGCAAGTTTACGGACTTGGCGCACCCTCATTCGCTGTACGCTAGCCAAGCACGAGCGTTCTTTCACTGGGCACGAAGGTGCCCGCGATGATTTGTACAGTACTATACTGTATGCCCAATCCATCTACACTATAATAATATTTAATGACTTTGTCTAAATTTTAGCCAGCATGCAAATAAAATAAGTACAATACAGTAATGTGCATTACTATAAGTCTGAAACAAATTTCCCCAAAACATTTTAACAATACTGTAAGTACTGCTAGTTTGGAGGACAATTTTGGTCTAGCTTTGTTCAATATTTGATGCTTAATGCAATGGAGATAGTTTTTTGTGGAGCCTCCCTCTAGGATGTTAGGTCAGGTGAGGTAAGTCTCATTGGTTGATTAAGTCAGGTACTATTGGGTTCTAGTAAATGTAAATGTTACTTCTTTTAAAATACTTTCAGTACTATAATGATAAAAACATCTGTGGAAAAAATTTACGAAATCATACAACTTGGTGGTAGTGTCGTCCTCAGTCATTACCTAAAATGCTATAGTGATTAGACCATCTGTGGAATAAAATGAACATCAAACAACTCCTTGTGGTAGTAGTATTGTTCTCAGAAATGACCATAGTGTCGTGTAATTATCTAAAATCTATTGATTGCAACCATAAAATTCACAAAATTCTTTGGGTGACAACAAGTGAAATTTTAACCTTTTTCTATAGTTCCTGGTTCACCTGTTATATTGTTCTCATGTGGTTAAATTAAAGCCAAACCATACCTTTTAGACTGAGAATATGGTCTTTATCCTTACTCTCCATTTTCAATCACCTTCTACACAAACACTGAAATAATCCGCACTCCTTCCCTGTCTTGTCTGGTCCTCCGTGGTTCTGTCTCACAAGGCCTCTTATTCTCGGGACCACATGATATTAGTATTTTCCCTGTCGTCCTCAAATACCCAGTAAATTTGTCTTTATTTCCAACTATAAATGTTAGATGCTTCTGTCTCCCACTAGCCGTCTCCTTCCACCCGTCACCTGTCAGAATCTCTTATTTTCACAGGTGCTTCACATGATATTATCCTATTTTGTTTATTATTTAACCCATAAAATACTTAATTAACGTAATTACTGTATGAATTCAATATTTGTTGTTTATTTATATTGTTTTAACTCTTATTGTCCGGATTCATTATCATGGTGAACTGGTTCCCTGTTGTCATACATACAGAGAGGCAATAGGTGTACAGGGTCAGGCAATAGGTGTACAGGGTCAGGCAATATGTGTACAGGGAGGAACAACTGCTTGGCCGGTTACAAAATGTACCATAGTCACAAGCTATAAAAATAAAATGAGTTTCAAGATTATGACATTATCTAATATAATTTCTATAATATCTTCCACTGGTTAGGTTAGGTCAGAAGCAGTTGATATATCACAAGAATTGTCAAATTACCACTGCTATAGTATCTCCAAGATAACCTGATTAGTTCAAAGAAAATGTACATGTAGCTGTCCATTTATTCAAACTTAAATATGTTCACAATCGGTAAGCAGACCTGTTATTCTCTAAAATTATGTTAAATATCTAGACTATCAACATGCAAATGATTTAAAAGAATTAGCACTTCAGAGAGGATGCTAGAAATTTTGGGTAAATTTTTACTGTCAGCCATGAGTCCCCAGGGGTTGACCAATGTTTTTCCAGTGTAATTTGGTGTGCTTTAAAAACGAATCTGACCTTCGTTTTTGGCGGAAATTGCTCGTTATTGCCCCCCCCCCCCCTAACGGTAATGGGGGAGAGCCTGCGAAATTGGGGTTTTGGGTGGAGGACACGAAAACTTGTCATCTAACCTAACCAAACCCCTAGCCGGTAGGCCTAGCTTAAACAAACCTAATCTAACAAATGTTTCAGTAATTTAAAACTTTGGGCCGTGCCATGTCTGAAAGTACAATACCTTAGTTAGAAGTGGATAGAATACTTTTACTTTTACTTTTATCCTCTTCACCAAATGATCGGCTCGTTAGCCGCTTGGGCAATCGGTCACATCTCTGTTACGCACTGTTGGCAAGTAATGAATGGGCATGAACCAAACATATATCACAATAGGTAATGAACTACAGTTTGTATGGCTGGATATATCCCAAATAATTTATAGAACTGATAAAACTCAATATAAATACACGCAGTCCAGGAGGGGAGGTAAAACGCTCAGGGCTGGCGGGAATTTCGCTCATCTCTACATCATCTCTCAAGTGTCAGCACTGTGATACTTAACCAACAAAAACATTTCTGTTATTACAGAAGGTAACAACACTATGGGTGGAGGATCATGTGGAAGGCAGCTGAGTGCATCCCCTTGTGAGATGCCATCTGTTGATTCAGTACAGGGTACAGCACAGGTTTACCTTATGGAAGGGTCATTCTAGGTTTATGGAAAATTTGGTTTACAGATCCACTAGGGTTGACAAGATGATGACCCATGCCAGGTGGGGGAAGCCATTCTGACATGTGTTTTAAAACAAATGCCTCAGTGGCAATATAATAAACAAAAATATTTCACACACACTTAACCAGGCTGGTCGAAGCAGCCGAGTGTCTAGACTCAATAAAATAAATAACTAATACGGTACTCAAGTATGATCCTCCACTCCCTAATGTAAATCCAACACACACTGGTGTCCAAACTTTAACTCCTAACCTGACCCCAGTGAGGTGATGCCTGCACCCATGAGTGCCAAGGAGAGGGGGAGTCGAGTCAGAATTTTCTCAGCATTTAATATGCACTACTCCCAGGCACTAATGTACTCTAAAGGTTAGGTTAAGTTAGGCCATCCTGTATCATCTTATCATCATTTGACCTGCCTGCATCATATCACAAGCTCAAGACAACAGCATCTGCTGGGGGGTACAGTATATTTTGTTTATTTACAATATGCTGCACTTGTACAGTGGTTTTTGTGTAAATAAATACTGTACAGCTGTGTCTGTCCGTGCGAGATGCATAGTTTAGACTCGGAAAACTTACCTCGGTACCCGGAAAAATTACAGGGATGTGGGATTTTTTCTGGGAATGACAAATTCGTCTCAAATACCCCCTGAAATCTCTCAAGCCTGAAAGAGCTGTGAACCAATTATTTCGGCTAAAGGGGATACCATTGCATGCAGCATATTTACTGATGTTCATTCAAAATTAAATGAAAGAGAGTACAATACACATGACTGCCCATTCCAAACAGTGTGGATGCAGCACACTGTATCCTAAGCCTTCGGTACTCTGTTTAACTGAACAGGCAATTGGTTGGCAAGTACGGGCTCTTGATTTCCACATACAGTATTACAAAATCACAACCTAACAATTCAATGATGAAGGGAAAACATCAAGTTTAGTAATGTGTGCCTAGAGGGTAAATACTGGTAATGTTCTACAGTATTATCATCATTTTTCATCTACGACTACAGTATTGCTCTTTACTGTAGGAACATGGTTGCTATACACTTATTTAATAACACTAAATACATACAGATATTTCAGTTATATTGTCTACATCATTTTACAAGTTATGACACAGGCTATAAAGGTAATGGACTGCTGAATGGACAAAGCCTTAGCATAATACTGCACTTTATCAAATCAGACATATTAAAAGCAGAGAGGTAACAGTGAACACGACCATTTACTTTGTGATTTAGCTCCCTCAAACTTGTATTACTGAATGCAGCACCCAATAGTCCCATCTGACAGGGATTAATTTACTGGAAACAAAGGATAAACACTGATATTATGTGGCTTTAGCGTAATAGTCAAGATGGTTGAGATCTTAGGTTCAACTCCTGGATGGTGAGATACCTTCACCTTCATCATCTGGTTATTGAAAAGAAACAAGAGCTTAAAGTTGAATAGCAAGTTTATTTGAACAAAAACCCTTTAATACATAAGGATACATATCACAGACTTCACCTAGCAACTCAGCAAGGAGTATAGGAAAAGACAAGCCCTACCTTATAAATAGCTTCTGACACCTCACTCAAGTCTGTTAAGCGAGTCAAGCACTCGGTTCACAAAAGCAAGAATTCTTTAGTCTTGCCATTCCACAAAAAATGAGCTTCAAATATACCTATTGATAGAACCTGGCAAGATCCCCCCCTTCCCTCAGCTGGTAATAACTCGGTAAACCGCTTTAAAGGGAACACCACTTTATAAAACATTTGCCACATAGTTCACACACATTCACACATCTACAAGCACATACTGGGTCTTACAGCACAAGATGCTCTAAAGCATTCTTATGATACGCTCTATAATGCTTACACACATCTCTTTATCATATTTTCCTCTTATATGAGCCATAACATCCCAGAACAGACTGTATTAGTAACTTATATTAATTTATATGCAGTATGTGCAAGACAAGTTACAGACTGTCTTCTGTATACAATTACACTATATTGTACTGTATCTAAAAGATCTTGGTAAACACCTCCATTGTCCTTTGTTGATTATCATATACTTAGAGCATTTAAAGAATGAATGACCTCATGTGATATTGTAATTTCCATAAGAAAACTGGAATATCAACATACAGTACCACACTATAAAAAAAAAAACTACTGTACATGGTAGAAAAATCAGTCATGGGGAAACAACTTACTGTAGTTTGTAAGTACTGTATGTGCTGAAATTTAGTTAGGTTAGGCTAATAAATTCAGCTACATGCAGGAACAAAATTTTCTGAAGAATACACTACTTACGGTAAATCATCTCGACCAAGTCACCTTGTCAACATATGTGACACGAGGAAACAATTGAAGGAATGTAGAATAGTATAGTAAAGAACAGAGTTATAGAGGCACATGTGATATACAATGTCTCTATAAAGCGAATACATTTATAAATAGTAATGTAGATCTAAAAGTCAATATTAAAATACTGAACAGAGAACAAGAAACTGTGATAAACTAGACAAATATTGAGAGATTCAGTACACCTTGGTATTGTACTGCTGATAATTGGAAAGGGAACATTTGGGGAAGCAACCTTTTCCTGTAAGAAACTGGCAGCTAAGTAGCTACTGATCTTATTAAAGCTGGGTCACCTAATTCTCAAGTTATTAAAAAACATGTTTTAGAGTTTACTGAGTTTACCTGTATAGTATTTCCGGATCTCAAAATGTTTTTTTCTTTACACTTGTCACCTAAATCCCTGCTGTGGCAAGACATCAAATCCCCCTGCCTTCTAGTACAGTACAACATTCCTTTCCAAACTCCTGCTTCAAAATTAAACAAGAAAATTGGTTTTAAACAATCTTAAATTACTTTCTTGACTTGTTTATAATAAAAACAAACATTTCGTTATATAAAGTGCATGACAAGAGTTCCATAGGCCTGATGACTTGTCAGGGGCAATGTGGATACTGTACAGTACTTCCACTCCCCCAACCATGAAGTACAGAATAGTACTCATTTATAGGGTGGTGGGTGGTCTGGGAGTACCCCAGGATTGAACCAGCAACCCTTAGGATATGAGGCTAACACTGCATCCACACAGCTGCTACACCCATTGTAGTACTGTACAGAATTTTTCATAAATGTCTGTGATAAATAATTCCAGATACAGTACTGGAATACACTTTGATTCCATGCACAGTATTAGAAACAATAGTTTTACATCAACAAAGTACAAACAAATAATATACCAGCACAGTAATAACATGTTTACAATGACTCTTAGAAAAGTTACCCGGTAATTACACTTCACTAGACACACTTTTGATTATTATCTTCCTAGATATTATTTTTTTCTCAAAATATTTATTCATTACAGTATTAGCTTTTAAATCTTAGTCAACTTTTATGATGATGGATTGATTGATATTATCCCCTGACATGAGTGAGTACAGTAGTACCCCAATAAAAACACTGTTCCGGGGTTTTGCTTTAAACCAATTGTTAGGGAAAATAAGACTCGGCTGATGTCTGGCCCAGTTTAAATTGCTCCTAGAACAAAATATATTTACAGTATTCATGTCGGTAAA